CGATAAACCAGACCCAACGCCGACGCCCCCAACACCCAGTCCTCCGGAACGCACCCGTCACCGCCGTCGACTGCTCATCTTCACCTCTACACCACCAGGAACGACGTTTTGGACGCCACAGTAGAGAAATCCGAACCGTGACAGCGAGCTGTTGAGAGGAACCCAAGACTACGGATCACCCAATTTTACGAATCGCAGAGACTGCAAAAAGGACGTAACTGTCACACAAGGGAGGATGCCTTCGCAACCCTCGACCACGTATATTCATGGTCTCACCTCTTCGTTTGCATCTACACTCGATGAGATCCCACAGGACATGTGTAGACACTTTGCCGGTACGTTGTTATCTTTGGTCACTCTGCGCACATCCACGGGCCCTTCTCCCCACACGCTCCCTCCTACGTTATCGCCGATCAAACCCTCATTTGTGTATTTGTATACTACTGTCGAGACATTCTTTCTGCGCGTTTTTGCTATTCTTGATACGAGAAGATTGGCTTGGCTGACATCTATTCCCTTTTGCTTCCCACCCGTCTAATTCTTCGTCTGTTTTCTTAATGTGCAGACTTGAGAGAGTTGGACGCGGTGCTTAGCCAGAGCCTTAGCGGGATCACGAAGAGGATCGAAGAGCTTACGGAAAGAATCGAAGACGGCCTGTATTCGCTCGAGTCCGCAGAGACAAAAGCAGCCGACCCATCCAACAAGGATACAAATGGTGAAACTTTTCATTCATATTTTTCACGTTAGTGGACGATTTGCTCATGATTTGTTCGCGTCTAGCCGGTCCCATTGATGAGGCATCCAAGAAGGAAGGAGAGGTCATCGGAATGTTTCAACTCCTTCATGAAATCGCCGATGACACTGGACGAATCAAACTCGGAGGTGAAGACAAGATACGAGTGGCCAGCCTCGCTGCCGATCATGTAGGCTTATTCTAAACTAGTACAATCCGAGGTGCTAATATTGACAACCAGATGAACGCTTATTATTCCCACCTTCTAAATGTTGTTCGTCGCATGTACGAGCTCGACGCAGCCTATGCTCTCGAGATTCTCGCTCCCAATACCGTCTATCCCCATGTACCTCCCTCTGCTCTCATTGATCCTGCCCCCGAGAACCGTAGGGGTGCACCGAGGCGCTTTGTGGCCGTGCAGAGTGGTTCTTATGGCCTGCCGTATCTCAATAATGCGGCTCAAGCGAATACCGGCGGAGCCGTGTATCATCCGAGTCGAAATGAAAGCGCGAGTAGAGGCGCCAACGGTGGGGTGGACACCCCCAATAAACGACGCCGACTACAAAATCAGGCTGGAGGGATCAACCCGAGTCACCTTCACCCCCGAGGTGGGGATCCCGACACGGACGACTATTCCACTCCCCGACGCGGGCACGCCGCGCTTGATGCAGAAGCGTACCGACCTGGTGGCAATACCGCCAGTAGAGCTAGAGCCCAGAACCGGAAAAAGGAGGGCAAGGTGCATGGAAATCAGGCGCCATTGGACCCTACTATTGCCATGAATGTCGACAGAATGGGAATGGGTGCACCTAATACGATTCCCGGCCAACCACCCATGACAGGTGCCGACCCTGGATTCATCCAGTCGACGGCACCCACCTCCCACAAACCTCAAGCTCAGAATGGCCGCTCTCGTACATCGAATTCTCAGCAAGCTCAACCGAGGCAGAGTAATGCCAATCCTCAACCTCAGCAATATGCAATGCATTACCCTCCCGGCTATGAAGATGAGAGGACAAAGCACATGTTTATACAAGCCCAACTCGTCGACCCGAATATGAACCGTGGCATGAATCGTCAACAAATGGATGCCACCGCTGCGGCCGCTGCCTATCAGCAGCACCATGGTGCGATGAACATGAACCCGAATCTTAACCATATGCCCGGGATGGGGATGGGCGCGTACCCTGTTGGAATGGGAATGGGCATGGTCGCTCTCCCGCCCCCCCCCCTCAAGCACAAGTCACAGCATGAGCCAAGGTAGACCCTCGTCTGGTAGTGTCTCTCGAAATGCCTATGACGTACCAGCTCCTGGTGGACCTGGTAATAGTTCCTCTGGGAATGGTGGGTCGAGGCATTCGGCTCCAGGTGGGAGTCTGGATGTTGTAGCTGGTGGTGCAAGTTCTCATGGCGGTGCTTATACGACTAGTTCCAAAGTCTCGAGCAATGCCAACCGAGACGTGGTCAAAGAGAGGGACCAGGGTGGTCCCAATTCGAGTGCTAGTGGCGGCTTGATGCCGATCCCTATGATGACTTCGCTGCCCCCCGTCACCTCTCTTGCTCATGGACATCAATCGACCAACACACCTCTGGCTCTCCCCGGAAGTAATCAACATTCTGCACTCATCGGAGATAGCAGTATGCCCAAAAGTAGACGGTATAGTCAATCTGGATATGGTGGAAGCTATGCAACTTCGGACACGCAAGGAGGAAGCATGGGATCATCTTATGGAAACTCGCACTCGAATTACCAGCCGTCTTCGACGACAAACACCTCCCGCCCATCGTCAACATCGCTCTACAATCACAATGGACCGGCTTCTAGAGATGAAAAGGTCCCTTCGTCGCGCACAGATATGCATCCTTCTCTTTCCGCCTCAAACTCGGCACCTACCTCTGCCAAGGAGGGTCAGTCAGGGTTCAATCGAGAGACGAGTGGACCGGCGAGCGCTGGTAGTGGATCAGGAGCCTTGCATGCATCCCTCGCTCGTGACCCACCCTTTCGAGTAAACTCGGCTGCCAGTGACCGATCGGAAAGGGAGGCCAAGTCCGGTAACTTTAATCGCTCGCGGGCGGGCACAACAACCAATCCTCCGGACCCCAGTATGATGAATGAGAAGGACTATGCATACACTCCCTCTGTTATTCCTGTAGGTGGAGAGAGAGAAGGCGATGGTGGATATTCTCGACACCCTTCGTTGCACACTTCTGGCAGTGGGTCGAACATGCAAGGCGTCATGTCGTCTTCGGGCAATCGATACCCCTACGCATCCAAGGAATCATCGATGAAAGGAGATGAGCGCGAGATGGATCCAGAACGACGGGGCATGACCTCTCCCGATACCGGGGGACGCCGATCGACAAACATTGAGCATATCATTGACGATCCCAAAGAGTGGCGATTCGACAAACGTACGAAGCGCGGAGGCCCTGCAGGTACCATCACTACTACTGGTGATTCACCACCAGCTACTTGGAAGAATATGGTAGCGAGTACGAAGCGCGGCGATATGAGCGATGGAATTGCGATGGATATTGATCCCAAGGGGGTGAGGACGCCAGTGAGGGGCGGTACGGATAATGGAGAGGCGATTGAAGATGATCAAAAGCCATATTGTATCTGTGGACAGCCGAGCTATGGCCAAATGATTGGATGTGATGATTCAGAATGTGAATACGAATGGGTACGTGTACTTTTTTGCATTATTCGGGGTTTGTTGGCGTGCAACTTTTATGTTGCCTTTCTGAGAATTCCCAGACCGCAACTGACAATTGCCTTCCTCTGTTCATTTGTAGTTCCATTGGCAGTGCCTCGGAATCACCAACACACCACCTCCGGGCGAGTTCTTGTGTCAATGGTGCCAAGCTCGTCGAGCAAAATCAGGCAGAAAAGGCAGCAAGAAAAAGACAAATGGTGGTGGTAACCGTGGTCGAGGGTTGTAAACACCTCCCTCGCTCTTTCTCTATTTCGTTTCTATTCCATTTTCTTTGCGTGTAATAATGTGTACGGGTTTAGTTATTATCTCCATGCATGGTTAATCTACGTGTTGGTTGAGGCAGTGTGCGAGGTTCGTGAGAATAGTTAGTGCCTACAGCTCTTCGTCAGGGCCAGAGATGAACATTATTTTCTCAGGAAATTGCGGAGATTTTGGTATCCATTGTGCTGCAGGCAATAAGCGCAGGGGCGGATTTTGCGGACTCGCTAGGGTTCAGAAACCGACTATAAAAACCCTGACGGAAAGTGCTCTCCAAAAACCAGATCCTTACATCTCAGCCTTTCTTCTCTTCACTTTTTTCTTTTCTCTTTCTTCTTCGTTCGGCCTGGTGCCCTTTGCGTGAGTTCACTCATCTGTTATTATATCCAACTCGAGCTCACTAGACTTCACCAGTTTTTGTTCTTTTACCTTCTATTTTGCTCATTCATCGAACATTAATCATGCTCTTCCCAACTGCTATCCTCTTTGCCCTCCTCTCCATCTCCCCAGCCTTTGCCCTCCACATCAGCGGCGGTTCAGACGCTCTAATCGCCCGTAACGAACAACAAGCCCTTGAAGCTCGAGGAGAGTTTCTGGGCGTTGATGTCGACGTGATGGAGAAGCGAGGTATCGCTGATGAGGACATGTTTGGAGAACTCGTCGCTCGCTCTCCTGAACCCGAGCCCATGCCTTTCGATGAAGACGTGAGTTTCGGACATATTATGTTTAATTCAAACATTTTCTGAAATTCCAATTCTGTATAGGTTTTCGAACTGGACGCCAGAGACCTCGACGAGGACTTGGAAGCTCGCTCAATTGAAGATTTGGAACCAAGAGACCCAAAGAATCGCCAACGTCAGTCCAAGTCCGCCCGAAAGATCACTGGCAAGGTCAAAAAGTTCAAGAACAAGGTCAGAAACGTGAGTAAAATTAACCTTTCTACTTGACGATCATCATGCTGAGATTTGTCTTCTTTTCTAGGGCGTGAATAACTTCAAAGCGTTTGTGAATGCATGGAAGCGAGACGAAGATGGCTCTCTTGAAGCCCGAAACGTTGACGAGTTTGACCTCGAGACTCGTTCTTTCGACGAGCCAGATCTTGAAGTCCGTTCTTTTGACGACGAAGAACTCGAAGTCCGATCGATTGACGAGCCAGAGATCGAAGCTCGTGACTTTGAGGAGGAGGACTTCTAAGTAGCTCTTTATTATTTTTATTTCTAAAGGTTATTTACAGTGGAGAGGGGTTGTATGTTAGCTAGTTTATTTGTTCGACCAATGAGCATTCCCTGGCCCTTTGGTCAGGATTCTTTACCATATTTCCCTTCAAACATGAGTAGAGGCATTAAGGACCACGTCGAGAGTGAACCGTCTATAGTACGCGCCTTGGCTTCGACGCAAGGGTTTAGATAACCTTGAGAATCTCCAATCATTCATTCTACCTCGCTAAATAGGATGGATTTGTACCATTTTTATCGCTAGTCAATTAACTGCATGTTCTACTGGGTGATCTTATTATAAGTTATATGTCGTGGTTAAAGCTCCATATCACCTTGGCCTCTGACATCCACTACATCAGTCGTTTAGTCCTTCCACCTTGCCTCTGAAATGGTTTATAAACGCGTAACCTGCGCGTTGGAATGATGTATCGTTCGACAAACGCCATATACCCGAGTGGATGAGGGCAGGTATTGACCAATTGGCGGAGAAAATGAAAATGCACATTATTCACAAAACCCGCCAAAAAGTTCAAACTTCTGATATGGTCTCAATTATGATTTGGTGCTTGGATGCTTCGGTGGGTCGGAATGGAGCACAACTAGTTCATTCAGATAGAAGCTGTACGAAGACTATTGCGTGAGTACGTGTCTGTGACATTGGTTAATGCATTTATTGATCGTTTCGACTGTGTATATGGAGAACCGGTATGCGGTGGCAGCCTATTTAGCTCTTCACAGGTTGTTCTCCTACTCAAATGTTGCCAAGAATCCTCTTTTCACACACTATACGTTCATAGGCGACCGCGACCGAAAACGTCGCACCACGAGTTCATGTTTGCCTTACAGCGAGCTTACACTTCGGGAGGTAGGCAATGCTTGAAGTGTGTTTCCAGATTTTACTATTTCATCGGCATTGATTTAGGGCAAGGCGGCTTCTTTACCCCGTGAGAAAGAGTATGCCATATACCCTTGGAAGAAGTCGAATTGCTTGATTTGATTGAAATATGGGTGAGACCACTACCTGAGATGGTATCCAGTGTTCCGGAAAGGCATAGCATGTTTGGCAATTAGTCCGATGACGACATCATCCTGCATTTACTGTATATATATTTTTGAATCTGCAGTTGAAGATTCTTATAAGAGCGAGGATTCTTTTGGGAAGACTCGATGATATCTACCAGCCTGCTGGTCCTTTCCTTTATTATTTCCGCTAGTTCTTCCCAATCATCACGGTTGTTCTTGCAACCCTGCAGGTATGTCATTTATGGTATCTTAAGGTAAAGTTCGAGAAGCTTAATACCATAACCGCCTCCAAGATTAAGATCGCTATACCACAGGTTCCTTTGAGAGCTCCAGATACCAGAGGGATTTGGATGATCTCGGCAGCATTTTTGGCGATTTTGAGAGTATCAATAGACACTATAAGCATGAAAGATTACGTTTTCATTTTCTTGAGGCTTTAGTGGTCTCTCTCTTGTCGAATCGGCATTGCCCTTGCTCGATCAGATGAATATTGGGAAGACTGCATCTACTAGAATGAGTTATGTTCGCAAATATTATTTCTCTTATTTCTTTGACACGTTAAAGTCAAGAGCAAAGTAAACGTAGGGAGAAGAGTTTGCAAGGGGGCATAGCGAGATTCATCCCTGTTCATAATATATTGTTGCAAGGCGCAATATCTGGGTTTTTGGAATAATGTCTGGCTCGGATTGGTTCCATTGGTACTCAATACGAAGCAGCTGACCCAGTATTGTGGAAGGACAGAATACTAACGACCAGGGAATGACAAGCAACCAATCCATTGCAATAAGAGACGGCCCATTAGCTTGGCCATACAATGTGAGTAGTTATAGATGAATTGGACTTAGTGTTGAACATTGGCTACGAGCGAAAGACGTTCGCAATGCCTCTAGTCAAGCCAGAAGTAGACATCACTTTCTCTCGAAGATAGCATCCGGGAAAATTCGCTTGAACTAATATTCCGAAGAGGGGAAATTTGAGCGCGGCTGACGAATGTCACCACATTGCACCACTCCCATCTCTTCGCCGAAAAACTTTTCGTCATTTTTCCTCTAGGGCTGCTCCACTCCCCTTTCTTGGACTCTTCCATATCAGAAGTGAACTAAAACAGACCAGACGCTAATCTCTGTCATGTCTTCTGTACCACTCCCAAAGAAATCCAATCCTGACGCGAACGGCAACGCCACCGCAAATCCCAGGCGGCCCCCTGTGTGGGCCATCTCGAGTGTCGCTTCGGGAACAGGTCTTGTTACACCTATGGCTCTCAAGTGTGGAAGGCACCAACCTGGGCGACGAGGTGTTTGCTGCAAGGAGCTCAAGAGGGAGGAACGACACTTGATTGACCCAGACGTGATGCGCGACATGTACGTGTTATCATATAGATCCATTTATAAAGCACGCGAAAAGCTGACAACCTCTTGTTTGTTGCACGCCCATCGTATAGCGTCATTGGGTTGAGTGACGGTCTTACTGTACCCTTTGCTCTCACTGCCGGGTTGGCCAGTCTTGGTAATTCGAGAGTCGTCGTACTTGGTGGTGTTGCAGAGTTGATCGCAGGTGCCATTTCCATGGGTATCGGAGCATTCTGTTCGTATCCTTTATGCCTTGCACGTTCCTTACTCATCACGTCCTCCATGTTCACCTTGTTCATACAGTGGCTACCCAAGCAGAAAGGGACTCTTACAGGTTCCTACAACAACAAACCGCGTTTCGAGTCGCCCAGTCTTGTGCTGGCGAGCTAGAACGCGAGGTCGACGAGATTTTAGGTCCGATTGGTGTTCCCGTCGAGCTCTCTAGACAGGTGGCCAATGCGCTTCACAAAGAGGAAATGAAGGCATTGCAAATCGAGGGTCCTTCTTCTCCGAACGCTCTTACCACGACCGACGGACACACTGTAACTCTGAGCCGCGAGGGACAACCAATCACACTCGAAAATGGCACAACCGAACAACTCAAGTTCCAGTCGACCGTCGGATTAACCCCGTTCCTACTCCAATTCGGAGAAGGTATGGAGCCTATTCCGGATAGCCGAATGTATGCGAGCGCTGCTACGATTGGACTCGGTTATCTAGTCGGTGGTGCCATCCCATTATTACCCTACTTTTTCATTCGTGAGCTTCTTTTCTTCTTCTCCTTGTTAATCACACGTGAACTATCCGAACCACGTTCACTCTCACCAAAGTTTGGTTCCAATGCTGACGTCAATTCTTATTAGCCACCGTTGCACGTGCCCTTTTGGCATCCTGCATTTTGACCTTCTTTGTTTTGATCGCCTTTGGTATTCTCAAGGCCCACATTACAGGTGCTGGCAACGGTAAATATAATATTCCCCCAGATTGCTCATACACTGACGAAATCCATTTGCATAGGATGGAGAGGTTACCTGTGGGGAGCAGTATCTACCGTCGCAGTAGGTGGTATGGCTGCTGGTGCCGCCTTTGGTATCGTTAGGGCGTTGGAGGGTGCCAAGTAAATCACCACGATGGCGGGCGAAGAAGAGTCTCCGAACCTCTTGTATCCGGGTTGATACGAGCACGAGATATTAACGAACTTCAGGAATGAAATTTGGTCAAAAGCCAAACCGAGCAGCCCTGAGGGCAAAAGTGGAGTCGAGGGGTGGCTCTTGCATTATTTGTACATTTGTTATTCGGTATTGTAGATGTCAATTCAGACTGATTCAAATTCATTTCCAGACGAATTTTTC